ATATCAACGAAACTGAACTTCGTCAACAATGGGACCACATTATATTGAAAATACAATATTTTGACTTTCTAAACTAGGAACTCAATATATTTAACAGATAACATGCAACAATGCTAATTCACCTTGAATACTTTGCCTATCTCAGAATCCCCACTTGTATTTCCTACAGTCTTGCTATCTTTTGTCCTTTTTTTTTGTAATGACGTCCTTCTTGGATTCCATCCTTCTTTTTTTTTACCGAATTTCATCCCCGATATTTGCTCATCCTCATATTCATCACTCAATTTGCCTTCAGAATCATCTACTACAGCGTGTATTTGATCCTCAGCATAATAATTTGGATCCCGCGACTCTTCTGCTTCAGAAGCATTTGGGATCTTTCTTTTTTGAGGTCTCTGAGCATCTTTGTGATGAAATTCGCCATGGTCCGACCGAAAGTCGTCGGAATCTGGGTTGGCGCTCTGCCTACTGTGTCGGGATTTGCCGAGTTCCTTGCTTGTTCCAGTTGGCTTCATGTTCCTTTCGAAATTGAGCTTTTTCTGTATGAGTTTACTTTTTTCTCTGGCCAGGATTTGCTTGATACGAGTGCTCGATCGCCTGTGTGCATCAACACCGGCACCGGGAGTTGGTGGGTCGCCTGCTATGTGAGGCAATTTGGTTTTTGCCATGAAAATGGAACCTATGGTTTACAGATGTAGGGGTTGCGTTGTTTGTGGGTTTGGGCGTGTGAGATGAGGGATGATTGGATTATGTGCGGAAGTGGGGGGGTAGTTTTGATTTTATTTGGTAAGTTATCCCACTAAATCAGCTTTAACTAAATAAATATATTAGTGCTCTTAAAATTAATCTTTCGTATAACTGCAATACAAATGATATGAATTAGTAATTTTGCTAAATTTAATTGTTGAAGTGTAAAATTGTAAATAAATTTATCTGGAGTCGTGCACCGTATAATTTCCTCTAAAATTAATTGAAAATGATAAGTAATAGAGATATCCGGCCCAATTCACATCTCAGATTGATTATAATAAAAAATGGATCTACAGTGATAACAATGCCAACATAATGATATTATTTGATGTGGTCTCAAATTAATGAATGAATTTGACCAATATAATGAACCTAATAAGCAATTTTTCCATATATATGGTAATCCGAACTTAAGTTATTTGTATTAAAAAATAGTAATTTTTATTCAAAGCATCATACAAAGCATAATATTTTAACATGTAAGATTACGAAGCGTGCGAAATTACCAGCGCGTTCTGAAATTATATATAAAGGGATGGGGGATTTCCATCCAATTTTGTATAATTTCCAATTTTCCCAATAAACCATAATTTTGAACAATTTTCTTTGGTTAAATAAAAAAGTATACATATTAAAAAAAAAGAAAAAAAAAACACCAAATTGGATTCAAATGTAAAAATCCCTTTATTTTTCTTGAATGAAATAAAATAATTATAAATTATATAAGCAAAGAAACACCAAGATTCAAAGTTAAGGGCTTGATTGTTTACAAATTATTTTATTCATTTTTATTTTAACTCAAAATTTAACTCAACTTTAACTCAACCCTACTATATTTAATTATTCATATAATTAAATAATACAAATCAATCATTCTTACACATCACATCAACTTTAATTCACTATTCATCCACTTATATAATTTTAACTATCTATCATTTTCAATCATTTATCTCTTACGTTTACATTAAATCAATTTTAATCATTTTATTTTAAATATTATTTTAATATATTCTTAAAATTCCACTAACAACTAACCATACACCTTTTTCAAAATTAATTATGATTAACCAAAATAACTCGTTTTGAACAAATTATTCCATAAACAATCAAGCCAACTTCGTTTCCTTGGATGAAATAAATAATTATACAAATAAAAACAAACACCAAATTGGATTTTAACTCATGTAAATTTCCGAAACCACTCACATCACATGAGCCCCAAACTCACCTCAAATGCACACCAAATTCACATTCCAAAGCCACAAAAATTGAGAAACCTCCGATTACGCCCTCCTCCGCCACCCGCAGCCCGCCGGAACCGCCGCCATGTTGGCTGTTTCCATCAATTTCTTCATTCCACCGTCCTGAAAAACCTCGGATCTCACATAATAACTCGAGTATATCATAAATATGAAATCCATAACATTCCAAAAAAAAATAATAATAATAATAATAATAATAATAAATAAACGAAAAATAAAATCTCCCATGAATAATTCGATTTGCTCGCTCATTTTTGAAATAAATGTAAATTTGAATTAGTAGTACTCTTATCAACTAACTGTTCATTTATTTCCTGTGAAAGAAAGGAGTATGAAAACATTGAAAAGCCGTTGTTGAAATGTGACGCCACCTATTTATTACCTTAGTCTGGTTGTCTTTTTTTTTTTTTT